ACACACGCCCCACCTTCCACACATACACCTTTTCACAATGCACTCACAAGTTCCAGCATGATGTTCCTGCCAATAAGGGCGGCAGCAGCAGCTTAAGCAGGTCCCTCCAGCTCCTCCAGCTCCTTTAGAGTCAACTCAACGGACGCACCCGCACATCTCGTCCTAGCACACCCCGCACATACCATCCCAGCACAACCCGCACACCCCGCACATCCCAGCACACCCCGCATATCCCAGCACACCCCGCATATCCCAGCACACCCCGCACATCCCAGCACACCCCGCACATCCCAGCACACCCCGCATATCCCAGCACACCCCGCATATCCCAGCAGAAGCACCTTGAGTCGCCCCTCCAACTCCTTGAGAGTCGATAAAAAAGACACCCACGCACCTTCCAGCACTCCCCCCCACGTCCCAGCTCACCCACACACCTTCCAGCATGATGTTTCTGGCGTCAAGCGGGTCGGTGGGCAGCAGCAGCACCTTGAGGCGCCCCTCCAGCTCCTCCAGCTGCGCCTCCAACTCCCCCACCTCCTCCCCAGCCATCTCCGCCATCTCCGGGTCCGATGCACTGTCCTTCATAAGAGCTGACGCAAGGAGTGGGAAGGGTGAATAGGAGTGAAAAGAAGTGGGAACGATAGAACTGGGGTGAGAGGGAGTAAGGGCGTATCCCTGGGTGGTGGCAGGCCACTGTTGAAGGCAGCCTGCCACGAACACATAAAACGCCAGGTTGGTGTCAGGAAATTTGGCGCGCAAATACAGGTGCGTGATTGGGCAATGTCCCAAAAATGTCACTTCAATGCCACCAAATCCGAGTCGCGCGCGCCTCGGGCAAAATGTTGGTGGCATGCGGTTTTCCCGCATGCCACCAACAGTGCCTGCTACAGTGGCCCTGCCACCACCCAGGGATACGCCCTAAGCTGCCTGCAACTCCTGCTCCCCCACCTCCTCCCCGGCCATCTCTGCCATCTCCGGGTCCGATGCACTGTCCCTCATTAGGGCTGATGCAAGGAGTGGGAAGGAGAAGTGGGAGGCAATGGGAAGGAGTGGAAATGAGCGGGGAGTAGGTAAGCTGTTTAGATCTCCAGCTCGCCCACCTCCTCCCCGGCCATCTCCGCCATAACTGGGTCCGATGCGCTGCCCTTCATTAGGGCTGATGCAAGGAGCGGGAAGGAATGGGGAGGAGTGGGAAGAGTTGGTGCAAGGGGTGCAAAGGGTGCAAAGGGGTGCAAGCATTGCCAGGCATTGCAATAGTCACCTTTTGCGTCAGCCAGTTGCTGCTGCTTGTCCTTCCACTCCGCATAGGCACTCGCCACCTGCCAGGCCATGGTGGGAATGTGTGATGGCGAGGGTGTGAGATGGCGAGGGTGTGAGATTAGTAAGTGGCACTGCGGGTTGATGCATGATACGATGTGGCATGTCATGGGCGATGTGGTATGGGCATGTGGGGATGTGGGGAAGTGGAATGGGATGTGGAATGTGTGTGGAGGATGTGGGGATGTGGGATGTGGGATCTGATCGGGGGCGTGGGATGTGGACAGGTGGGCACGCAATGACACACCACCCACCCATGTATGCATGCATGCCAGCGCCACGTTAGATGCAGCCCATTCCGCGGCCCCTTATCATTCCATTCACCTCTCCCCTGCTTTCTCACCCCCACCCAGCACTGATAGGATGGTACTGCCCACACAAGTCCTCCCCCCAAGCCGGGTGAGTATCCATCGTCAGTGCTCCCAACCCAACTACCTCCCCTCCCCCTCAACTCATCTATCACCTCGTACCTACTCCCAACTACCTCGCCCCCCACTCCTCTATCCCCCTCTCTCCTCCTTTACACCCTCTATCCGCTCCATATACCCCTTTGCTCACCCACTCACCTCCTCGATCTCCCCGGCTGACTTGGCAATGCGCATGTACTCTGTCGCGTTAGACGCCATCTCAATTTCCCTCTCACCTCCTCAACTCCTCTTTCCACTACACCGCTACAGCATCTGTATCCCCCCCCTCACCTCCTCGATCTCCCCCGCTGACTTGGCAATGCGCATGTACTCTGTCGCGTTGGACGCCACCTCGGGATCTGCCAGTCGAATCTGGTGGTGGGCCAGGTGGGGGGAACGGGTGGGGGGAACGGGTGGGGGGAACGGGTGGGGGGAACGGGTGGGGGAACAGGTGGGGGGAACGGGTGGGGGGAACGGGTGGGGGGAACAGGTGGGGGGAACGGGTGGGGGGCACGGGTGGGGTGGGGGGCACGGGCGGGGGGAACGGGCGGGGGGGACGGGCGGGGTGACGGGTGGGAGGAACGGGTGTTATTGAGGATGGAGGAAAGGAAGGGGGAAAAGGGTGTGGGGAAAGAATGGGGGAAAGGAAGGGGGGAAAAGGGTGTGGGGAAAGAATGGGGGAAAGGAAGGGGGAAAGACGGGGCAAATGGGGTGATAGAAAGCCGGGGCAGATGGAAACAAATGGAGCAGAGCCGGGTTTAAGGAGCATATGCTGA